TCTTCCTACTCCGTCTCCGGCAGCGCGCGCTATCGCCACTGACATTGCACGACGACGACGACGGCGAGCGACTCCGAGGCTGCCACACCGTCGCAGCTGCATTGTCAACCCCTTCCCTCCGTCGACCCGCTCCCTGCGCTCATATATGTATGCATTGGCGTAGAACGCCGAGGAATCGACTACGATGCACAATGCAACGACGCTGCGAGCTCCCTTCAAGGTGAGCTTTGTGAGCTTCCGTTTACGCGATGCTTGGATCCTGTGTAATTGTCGCGGAACCGTCGTTCGATCGCGGGAAACAGGCTCCGCGCGGTTTTCTTTTTATTAGGAGATTAATTTTTTTGGTTGTCGGTACTTACGAGGAACGCTGCCGTGGCGATGCGGAAGATGCTGTCCCCTGAAACAGAAGAATACGTAGAAATGAATATTTTTGGGAATTACTGATGAAGCGTTGTGTCTGTGTGTGGATATTATTTTGTCGGGGGTTGTATTATTGTTATTTAAGGTTTAGCAATGGAATGAACAGAGAATTATTGCATGCGCTTTGAATTAAAGATGTTTAATTTTAGAAATTATTTATTTGTAACCTATGGATTTTTTAATTATTAGTTTTCATTGTGCCTAATAGTTGAGTATTATACTATAATAGTGTTAAATAAATGAATGATGAAAACGAAAAGATATATTGAAAACCCTATTTTGTTAGTCATTCTTTGAAGATATACTATAGTTTAAAATATACATAGGTATTATTACTTTTCATGTTTTCTGTTTTTATAGTACGTACATTGCAGTGTAATAAGGAAATATTTTAATTTGATATTCATTCGAAAGTTTAGGGAAACGTCTTCACATTTTAGTCGTGAAAGTAAAATAAACAAATTGTCGCCATTTGACGGTAAATCTCGAAGAATCGAGTACTGTTGGGATCACTAGGAGATATATTCGTGGCTTGGCGGAGAGAAACGCAGAGAACTGAGCCGTCCTTCACGAAATTTGCATCTCTGCCTCGCCAATGCCGCCCAAGGCGATATTGTCGTTACAATGAAACCACCCCGAAAGCTCGCCACCACCCTCGATACACGCTCCGGCACAGCCGATGTCATGTGCGCGTGTCGCACTCGAACTTTTGCCTCGAACCACAGGCGCGAAACTTCGTGAATTCTGATCACGCATACATCGGCACGGCGAACAAAATTTTGCCAGTCTTTTTTTTTCGATTTGCGCCTCCGATAACACTGAAACCCTTTCTGACGCCACGCCGATTGAACTTGTGTTGGAGAAAATTTTGGCGTAGATTCGACGACGCTCAATTTTTTAATTCATGATCGATAAACCGGTAAAATACTATTCTGCGATACGTATTATTGTGAAAAACGTTATATATACATTAGTCTGTTGTATAAGATACTCCATCTTCGTCATTTATCTAATGATGAATTGAATTAAATGAAAATATTTGTATAGAAGTAGGTTTTCTTTAACTATAGGATGATTTTAAAATAATGATTCTATTAATTGAGTGTTAATAAAATTTATAATCATAATTTATAATGTCATTCATAATCGCGTTTTGTAATATTATTACCATTCTGTCTATTTTCAAACTACTTAAGAATAATGAATTTTCTGTTTAAGAATGTATCGAATTAGCAAACTCTAAATATCTATTTTTATGAATAAATTTTATTCATACAGATATAACAGATAGTAAATACTTAGATCAGGAATATATTCATCAATTCCAAATACCAAGACAAAGTATCGCCGAGTTGGCGCACAGAAGAATCAGTTACACGAATCCGGTATTTCATTCGAAACTCTTCCGTTCGTATCCCGTGTTGAATTCTCGTGTATCATCAATTTTCCTAGCCGGGGGACGAATTTCACGAAACAGAGTGCGTCTTTGTAGTCGCTATTCAATGTTTCAGCAAAGGATGCACCGAGACAAGGCATCGGAGAAACGGCGGCGAGGGTTAGGAAGGAAGAAGGATGGGACTAAGGAGGTCATAGGTGTGAGGCATAGTTCGACGGCAGTATCTGAGACAGTTTCGGCGTGCAAGACTTAACAAATAGGTAAAGTTTTGTCCCGAGGATAACGGGAACCGGCGGATTCCCCGGTGCTACCACGACATCCTCTCTCCTCTTTGTTCGCAAGTTTATGATGTATTAGACGTCCCCCGTCGTCCTATCGCGTTCCTTTCCTTCGTTCCTCGGCCGCGCTTTTCGGCTGACCAATTTATACGGCACCGAGAGTTAAGATGAAATTTCCCAAGGCGAAATTAACTCCCATGAACGCGCCGCGGGAAAGTTTGAAACGATCAAAGGTACACTTCATACAATGGAGTCTCGGCTATCCGATTTATTGTGTGCAGCAAAAAGTACTTCCCGATTTTTCGGTAAGATCAACATTTTCTTTAAAATAATGTACAAATGTTTAATCGTCGAAATAACCATTATTATCTATGGCTTTCGTGAAATGAATTCATGTAGTCAGCTGAAGTGTATCGGAAAGAACTGTCTACTACACCTAATAATAGGTAACAGCCCAGATAAATGGAGACTCGAGTGGATATTTTGTATTTATATAAAAAGAAATTATTAGAATGTTTTACTGTTTCATTTATATCAATTAACGTTTAATGTTTATAGCAAATACATTCCTCCAAGTTAGATGTATGTAACTTCCTTTGTTGCTAACAAATTTGTATACCTTTCTCATCTCACTTCAACTATAATGTGACATTAGTTCATAAAGCAAATGTTTCCAACCTTACATCCATACTCTTTAACATGTTCCGTGCCATCGGAAATTTTGGTTACACTTGCTTATGAACTGTATTGATGTTTTAAATAAAGTATTAAATTATATTTAAATTTTTGGTAATCTCGATATTGTTTTTTTTACGTTTTTACTACTTTGTAATGTGTACCGCTATCCGTGACCAAGTATCTTTGAAAAATATATTCTTAAAAAAATTGGCGTGTACCATATGCGGTACAAGTGGCACTAAACGTGTTAAACACATATTTCCATTTATTAGTAAAGAATATATTAACGAAAAAAACCATAAAGCAAAAAGAACGAATTAAATATCAAGACTTCGTTACCGACATTTCATTACAAAATCTTTCCGTCCCAATTCCGCGTGCGCGATGAAGCGGCCAGTCTCGAATTATTCAAATTTCCCTTACATTTCAAATCCGTTTACAATCCCTCAGCGCAGAGGATATCGTCGCCGTCTCCGATAGAAAAGAATTGAAATTTTCCGGTCGGCCGGCAGCTCAATGTACGAATTCCGGTGCGGCGGCGGCGGCCACGAGCCGACATCAAAAGTTCCGTGTCCCCATGGAACACGAGTCTCGCCGTGACCGGGGCCACGCAGACGCGCTCGCTGCCCCCAGGATTAATAAACTTTGTCGCGTCTCGGCTTACCCCGTTGGCTTAACTCCATACGGGGAAAATCAATACGCGATACACGCGTATATCCAGGAGGACCGGTTCGACTTGTCGCGCTATCTCTCTTTTATCTCGATCGTATATTTCATTGTATCGGCGTTGCGTGGGAATACACGCGTACCTACAACTGGGGTCTCGCCCGGGCCAAACGGGAGAGCCGGCGATCACGCGTTTACGAACACAAGTAGGTCGTCTAACGGCGTTACCGTGACGCCCACGCGCCTCCCTCTCGAGAGACGTTGGCTCTTCGGGGTGACAGATGGCTCGATAGACAAAGAACCTGGCCGGGTGCCTTGCCCGGCGCCGCGTAACTCGATAAAACGAGATTCAAAGTCGATCGTCCTTCGCGGTCCGCGGCGAGCGGGACACGATGGGGTTGAAAATCAAATATACCGATACGATGGGACCCGATCTTCATCTCCTCGCCAAGATTTGCCTATATAACTTTCCCGCTCTGTTCTCCGTGAATCTTATCTTTCTTCTCATCGTCGATTAGGCGCTCCCCTCGATGACACCAGGCCAAACCGCGTCGAGGACGATCGGAGGGTACTTCCAGCGTGTTCCAGGACGATTAGACGATTACTACGGACCCCCTCCGTGAAACCTTGTTACGACGCCCGCTATTGGACGGAGAATTAGCCTCGGGGAGCTTTGAATATTCGGATGTTCCGCGGATTGGTATACGGATCGTCGTTTCTTTCATCCGAGTGGTTTTGTAGCAGTGGTCAGAATTTCTATATTCATATTTGCCTCGGTTGTAATTGATAGTTTGTTTCCATTTTGGCCAATTGTTCTGTGTTTGCACGCGCGTTTCGCCGGAAACGGATCCGCGGGGGTGTATTTACAAATGGCTCGGTGAAATTACATTTTGTTTTGGATTCTATTTATTCGAGGAAACTTTGGAGAGAATCGAATTTGCAATCGAATTTCGGTAATTCTGGGGATTATGATCTAGAATTGTTTGCTCGTGCAGGTTGGATTGTAAAGGTTAGAGAAGTTATTGTGTATCAAGTATATTTGTACAATCATTTCGACGAAAATCATTTTATTCGTTGGTGTTTTATTAAAAAATGGAATTTTTGTTAGATGAATTTTATGGTAGAAATTTATTTTCCTGTTTTTGTGGAGTGTTATCAATATTATTGAGAACGTTATTGGACAAATTTGTGGAAAGTTAGTAAAAAAGTTTCTTCAAGTTAAATTTATTGTTTATATCTTCATTTGTATTTATATTTTCATTTATACATATATTGTATTTAGTTATAGTTTTATTTAAAATTGACGATACTGTCTAATCACAAACTGATGTTAAATGTAATCTCGATCTATAGTATGCAATGCGGAATACATATACAGTTCTGTGTCTTACGGTTCATGTCGATTAAGGCACTGCATGCATGAACGACACGCACACGTGCGCGTATACAGAAAGGGGCGTTGCGTCGATGGGTGGCACAATGGGCACGTGGCAGAATCTAATCATCTCACAAGTCTCAGGGACAGCTTGTACTTTTTTTCTAAGTTCTGTCATTCATCGTGTTAAGTTGGTGGAAATTCATTAATTCGTGCTAGTCGATGAGCCATCATTTCTATGCCATGAAATTTTTTATCTTTGACAACATCTAGATAAAGAAAAACAATTCCGGTTTTGACATAAAAAATTACATGATTTTGTAAATTGAAAATTATATATATTTTTTTCTACAGGTTAGGGTTAAGCTGTGTATCATTATTTAAGTTGTTATTTTTCTTCTAAAACAGATTTAAAGCTAGATCAAAATTTCATATAATAAAATATAGATTGTTTTATAAATTTTATAATTCTTATTAAATATTTACTGATACTAGTTTAGATAGTATAGAATATTTATTTGTAGAGTATTTATATAGAACATTTGTGAAACTTTATTATCTAAATTTGTTCCAGAAACTTCTAT